TCGCACCATCGGTTAAAATCCCACAAAAAAAAAAGACAGGAAGTTGTCTATTTTCACTGCACACAACATGCCTTGACACAATATTCTCATTAAGCATTTGCAGAGTTTCTGGCTATTAACAATCTTGACCTGGAAGAGTTTCAAAATAGTCCAAAACTTAGCCAGCTTTTATTTCATCAGATTGCATAAAGGTGGAGAAATAAGCCTCCAGCTTTCCTGTAAGTGGGTGCTGCCGGGGCACCGACCGTCAATAAAGAGGCTGGCAGAGGCAGCATGGAGAATAGCATCTACCACCCACTGAGGCTCCACAGGAACGCAGCTATTTGAGAGCAACGGCTCCAATCAACAGCTATTTAAAGACCGTAGCGCACAGTGTGTGGGTTCAAGTCCATGGGAACTTGTGAAACTAGAAAAAAAAAACTTTGATTGTGGTTTCCTACACAGGACTGAACAGGCGTGTCATGGTAAATAAAAACGAGGGTAATGTGTAACGATTATTAGCCACAGATATAAATGAAGATCTTTGCCTTTCTTCCTTAAAACTATATTTTCTCATAACTGTGTGGGAGGAGTATTGATATACTGTTAAGGAGGAAAAACGCTTGAGTATGTGTGCAGTTATGTGAAATGCATGCATGCTTGGCTGATCATTAGCATTAATTAAGACTAATCTCATTCTCAGCAAGTTTAAGTGCGTCTGTGGCCATGGCAACCCACTCCCAAATGGTGCGCGGCGGTGAGGCCCACTGTCTCTCCACTTCCTCCGGCAGTCATTGAGATTTGTGGAGCAATTACCACACAGCTAGAGGAGAAGGAGCACTTCAGCGAGACAAGTTGGTGTCCTGCCTAATGTGTGACATCCTCACAGCGTCAGCTAGCATGCACACTCACTCGTGATGGCAGGACCTGAGTGGAAATTAAACCACATGTTATGTATCAGTTGAAGCTGGAAAGAGTTTACTTTGGGTTAGAAGAACTGTTTCATGAATGTCCTGAAAATAAGAAAAGCTGAGATATGAAATGAATGTCAGGCTGAGAGCGTGTTGGTTTACTAACTGGGATTTAAAAATAGCACTGTAGCTCAGTGAACAGTGAACAATGGCTAAATCAGAGTGGCATTGTGTGGAAAATCTCTCAACGAAAGACATCCTCCTTGCACCAAAACAAGGTTTATTTTTGCCCTCGGAGCAAACTACCACTCCAAATAAATGTGTCTCCCAAACATTATCATAATTATGTCTTAGCTGTCCTTCTGTATTTTCATGGTCTTTCACAGCAGGGGGATGTTGTGTGATTGTATGAGGTGGAAGAGTGCAACTCATATCAATAAAAATATACTATATACACTGTCGGTTTTGGACCTCACACTCATGATCAATGCCACAACTTAGTGGCTTTCTCCAGGGCTGCACTGTACCCCAACAAGACTGAGAGTCCACAGCCATGCTAGCAGTTCTGTGAGGCTGGACTTGGGCATATAGGTACTTTGAGCTAACTGCTATCAATGGGGAGGGCTTGTAATGCCAAAGAGGGCGGCTGTACATATCCCGTCCCTCCTGCAAGAAAGCCAATCATCTGCTTTTTAACAGCCGAGCCGGGAAACATATTACATATCAGTTCCACAGCTCGGTTGAGGTTTGCGACAGTTTGTGTGGCAGCGAGGAGCAGATGTGTGACCAGATCAGACGCACCTAATTCTAAAGAAAGTGTAAATAGTTTTGCAGATATTTGGTCATCATGTCGGACAAATTGAAGGTTTGACCTGATGATGGCACTAATTGAAACATTAAAGGATAATTTCTGTATTTTCACATATTTTGGTGTCAAACACTAGTAGGTACAAAAAGTTTTGGAATCCGTGCAAGTAGATGGCTTCAGCCAGCAGCCGTCAACTGGCTGCAGTTGATGTAACGTATTCCTTCGGGGCAATTACGGCCACAAACAGTGCTTATTTTTGCCAGCGACAGGCTCAGACTGTTATACCAAGTGTCTGACAACATCATGGAAAGGATCCCTATGAATGACTCCTGGCGAAACCCTTTGTTTTTAACAGAAGTCTCGCTCAGTGACAATTCTCGCTCTGAAATCTCATGAAAGGTGAGGTGTTGCAGGAAGACGGTGGAAACGTGAGTCGGAGATGGAGAGAGGAATTTGTTTTGTTGGAGTAACGTTAGGAAATAAAGTCTTGCTAGCAGTTCCTCTACGTACACAACAACCCCCTCTCACTCGCTTCCACCGGCATTATTATTATTGTGCATGTCCTATTATACATATCCTGTAGGTGTAGAGAAAAATAAAAAGGGGGTAAAGATCTTGGCATAAACAATTCTAAAGTCTCCTGATAACGATCAATCAAATACACATTCTTTACTTTAACGTCTTCGTATATTTAGTAAGAAACAACAACACATGAATCATTCAGAGGAATCACCTCAGTTGACTTCTATTTTTTTTTTCAAACCTCGCCCACAAGCTCTGAACTATTTCTAATTACTCAGTAGAAGTCTGTAAACTGTAATCATGAACATACAGCACTGACAGTTTGTAAAACATTCCACTGTTAATGACTTCACAGCTTCAGGACTTCTATTTTTAAATGTTATGTTGTACACAGTTTTTTCCTTCAGCATACATCACAGGACCAGTGCACTGCTTTGACTCAAGCATTGTGCATGTTGTGTACTTTCAGGTATTACATTACCTTCACGTGCCATTTGATCAGGATTTGCTTCATTACTGGACACTGGGGATTGGACATGGGGGCGCAAACAGATCTAGTTTATTACAGTGTGTATTATGGCTATACCAGCTGCCCTAAACTGACCCACGAGTGTTTTTTGATGTTGAAGATAACATACATGAGCCTCTAACAACCTCGGGCTAAGCTGCTTTCCAGCCATGTATATAAAGTGGCATTAGCTGAGTCTCCTTAGGCACTAGGACAAAATCACAGGACAAGTTTAACTTAGTGTGTTTGATCAGAAATTGGGTTAGAAATGAACTGAGGCCTGTGTGAGCAGCTCCGTGTGGATTAATACTGCCATCTTGTGGTTGAAGAGTGGACGTGTCTTCACAGCGTGTTTTTTCTTGTTAGTAAGCCCCAAATCATTAGTGTCACTGAACTTGTTAACAGTGTACATGTGGATGGTGACAGGTCACCAATTTGGCATTTCAAAAAATGGGGAAGTTTCACATATATTCCCCCAAAACAAGAAGCAAAACAAATCATACCACAGGAGTTGATGCGCCGTTATGTCATTTCATCAGATGTGGCAGAGTTGCATCAGCAAACAGTTCAGCTTGAAATCGATACTGGTTCATCATTAAAACAATTAAGACAGTGCTTCAAGTTATGGTAGATTCAGTCAGTGGGTTTGAGAAAAACGTAAGTATAGATAGGTAGGGAGGGTGGACAGAGGCTATTTTGTGAAAACTGTTATTGAAATGAGCAAAATAATTTAGTTTTAGATGAATGTCTTTGAATTGCTTCACTGGTTATGAAATATGTATATTGTGTATGATAAAGGCCTTGTCAAACCTTAAAAATACACCAGTAACGTGATCCCTCAAACTATGCGAGGTCCAACCATCTACTCAACAATGTTACTTGTCTTCATGTTTATACCTTCATTGAATCGCAGTAAAGTCGTTTCCTTGCACATGCGTTGTAATGTAGCTGCCTGCCACAACTTTGTGGCTTATTAAATAAAACTAACACACGCCCACACTACTGGACGAAGTCAATATCATCTGTCAATTAGGATGTGTGTAACATGTAACGTAACGACTGTTATGATTGCGTTAACGGTATGCAGACGGATTTCTCTCTCGGCAGTCAAATCATCTTTGATATCCGCGTTCAGCTAGGCTAGCGTCAGCTTTGTTACCGCCAAGTAAAGCCCGTTCATCGTCCTTTTTGCATTAAGACCATAGTTTAGACTACAGTGTAGTCGTTAAATGTTGCGATAAAAAAAAACCCAATACTTGCTGCTCATCAGTAGATATTCTTTGTTTAACGTAACACCTCCCACGTGACGAATTTCCCAGCATGCTTTGCAGCCCAGGATATGTTTTTACATTTGACAAATTCAGGCTTATAAACAGCAATATGTACGTTGTACTTCCGCGAATATTATTTAAAGATGTTAAAACATCCACATTCGTTTGTGAATAGACATGTGAATAGGTTTGACACCATTACTTAGACACATATGTCAGTGCAGCGCTATAAATACACGACAGGATGTCACTGTCTTTCGGTTGGTCCGATGGCGGTGAGATTTCAATTGATTGCTACAGTGAGTTACAGAACCTCTACGTTTCTTCTCTCCCCTCCCTCACCGCCGACCTTGACTAGCCTTTTAATCATTTTAGCTTATTTCCTTGTAATGTAATACAGGCAAAAATGTATTTATTAAAAGAACAGCTGAACGCTGTAAAGGTATGTCCTTTGGTAACACTAACCAGCTCTGTAGTTTTTATTTTTTTATGCAGTTAGTATATATGTAGTTTTAAAAAAAATTTTATTGATTGCCATGCCTTTCAACACAGGGTTTTGCTCAGTAAATCACAATCTGAAACAGCTTTATTGCCAAGTTTGCATATGTTTACATATACAATTAATTTCTTTTGGTGACTGAGTGCATGGCAATAGACATAAACCTATTTAGATGTAAATATAAAACTATGCATATATAAAATATGCATGTTATAAGAGTATTAGAGACTATGTGTAAGAAAGGTATTTTATATATGATAATGGGGTTAGAGACCCATTGCTGTGTTAATTGACAGGAGTGGGTGGGGTCCGTAGATGGCAGGTATTGTTTAAGTAGGAAGGTATAAATGGTGGCATGGCCACCTCCTCTTCCTTTTGCTGCTGCTGACACCAAGCGCCCACATTACTGTGCACGTCAATGTGCGCGGATGCTTTTATGGCGATTTACTGGTAAGAGTAGATGCTCTCGTGTAGTCATTGATAATGGTGTTGCAAGCTGTTAATTTGGGTTGCTTGTGATCCCAGGCTCACTGTTAGTGTGGCCCTTTCCCTCCACATGTGGACGGGCGGCTGCTTGCCAGTGTAGGCTTCCTGCAGGGTTGGACTGTCCTTTCGGAGCATCGGGGGTGTCCATTCGTTGTTAATCATGGTAGGTGTTCATGTAGAGTGGGTGAACGGCTAATCAGTTGTGTTTAGCCACACGTGAGTGTTAACATGGTAACTGTATTTTTGTAGGGCATGGAGCCATCCTGAAGTGTGCAGTCAGTCTCTTGCCTGCACAATGGAGGAAAAGCTGCCTTGCTGCTTTCTATACATGCTATATAACCTCCTTTTTATGTACATGATAAAAGTTCTGTTGGGCTCTTTTAATGTAAGCTTGAATGTGAAAGTGTGATTGGGAATGAGCTAACTGTCTCTGTTAGCTCAGTTTTTAGCAGTCTGTTGTAAATATTATTAATATATTTTGTTTGTTTTCTTTCTACTTGAAGGAAACTTTATTTCTGTTGTAAGTTTGCTTTAGATTTAAATTGACAGTTTGGTTTTTGTTGAACTAATTGATTTCGCTTTTGTCTGACTTAAAAGTAGTTTTCGTCTATTAACTTGTTTCGTGTCGCAGTTCTGTCCGTATGTCTTAAACGGTATGCATGTTGTGAAAAGCCTTTTAAAAAGGAAACATAAAAATAAAAGGAACTGTGGTGTGAATGGAACAACGCCTCTGACCTTCCCCCCTCCAAGTAAGACCTGTGTGCCTTCATTTATCAGTGCTGGCTGAATTATATTTCTTGGGGTGAAATTCTCCAGGTGGCATAGTTGGTTTAATAACACGTCTTCGAAATTCGCAGTAGGGTTAAAGCCAGGCTCCTTAGCGAGAGCCGCAAGCAATCTGCCTCGCTACAATAATAAAAACATAGGTATGTCCGTTTAACGAAAATATTTATACATACAAGACACAAATTTGCCTTGGTATCTGGTGCATAAAAAAGTAACATAGTAAGTATAAAACACAAAGCTAAAGCAATAGTCAAAAAGCATTTAGAAAAGAGAATGCAAAAAAATACTTAAATATAAATGACTCACTGTTAAATAATTGACTGTACATTTACAGTAAATTGCTGCCTCATATTGCATTACTTTCACATTAAGTTATAGTGAGTACATTGATGTGAAATGACAGCTGTATACTGTGACCTCACAGTATTTAAACCAGCAGATTAGATATAAACACAAACATGATAAATATTACACACTTTGCAGTTGTATATAAATTTAGCATGTTTGTCATTTTGATTTAGGACCCTTATAAATCTTTTTTTCAAACATTTAGAAACCTCCAGTTGAAGCAAAGCAATTTAAAGATGTCGCTTTGGGACATTTCCTTGAGCCTTTGTTTTTTTTTTAAATGTTTGACATTTTCTAGAGTAAACAGTTTATTAATTGAGCAGGTTAACTGATAATTAAAGCTGCAAGCAGTGATGCGAGTAAATGGCTCTGACTGAATGATTATTGGCATGTATTGTCTTCAGAACAGTACTCTTATCAAATATGTAGGTTTGGTTCCGATTTTCGCATGTACAGAAAAGTTACTGCGCAATGGCAAAGCGTGAGTTTTAGAGCATCTTTAGGCCGTCAAACATTCATTTGGGAGAAGAAAAATAATTCATTTAGTTTCAATAGAAAGTCACTTATGCCTCCCTATGGAACCTTACCTCAGGGGAAAAAATATGTATGGTAGTCAATGGCGAGAAACAACTGATGTGTGATCCAGTTTGAAGTCATAGTTTTCAGTCATGTGACGTGTGTTGAACTGGAGGGCAGAACAACAGACCAGGATGGCGGCTTCCTGTAAAGACGCAGCAAAAGCTGTTAAATTTCCCTTCCCACGATTATTTGGATCAACTCAAGAAAAATAGATATAGACACAAACTGCAAGTGTTGGGCACTTTCGATCCATATGCAACACCCACTTCCGTATTTCTGCTGTTAAAAACCGCCAGGTAACTGCCAGAGCTCAACTGAGGTGATGTTTACCTTGTGGAAAATCCCTCAGGTTACACTGCTGCCAAGATTTTCTATATTGGATGGAATTCTGTAGAAACCCGGCCCAGACTGGTCGCCTCATCGATTAGTGCGTCCGATAGCACAACTATCCAGCATTTTGGCAACACAAAAGTAACAAACTCAAAGTAACAGTGTATCACATGCTTCCTTACGGAAGCCCTAAGCAGCCATCCATTGAAATATTCTTTTATTTCTGTTTTCCCATGATAACGGGATAATTATTTTGTGATCTCGATAACGAATGTTCACAAGAAAATTATCCCTTTATCACGGGAAAACAGAAATAAAAGAATATTTCAATGGATGACGTCGTTATCTCGATCACGAGATAGAGAAGATATGAAACTTTATTGCAATAAAATTTTTGCCCATATCGTCTAGCCCGGTGTTACCTTCAGTAATGTTAGCTTGGAAGCAAAAGTTGACATTTTGTCAGATTCCTTACTGTAGGGTAGAAAACATGCTCAGTTCAAAGGTAACTGTGTGGGGAAGAAGTGAACGATGGTTCATTAGTTTGCCGGAAGATGAAAAGCAAGATTATCCATCAGCCTTTGCACTTCATTGGAGCAAAAAAAACTAACAATGGAGTATATTTTTACAAAAGCCTGTAATGTCTTGAAAGGGAAAAATGCAATCAAACTCTTCATGACTTACAAAAAAACCTAGCCTTTATAAATTTTTGTTTATAATTTTGAAGGTAATTTTTATACTCTATGGATCCTATTTGTCAGGAAGGCTGAGTGCCATCCGAATCCAGTGAGGGCGGAGTGGTAGTGTGTTGTTAAACCCTCCATTGCATAGTCAGCACCGATGCTGGCTTGTTGAAGGTGTGTAACACCCTTTGCTGCACGATGGGGGACCTTTCTTTCAATGCGAGCTCCGTGTCCATGTAGGATTTTTTAATTCAGAAACCACACTAACATTTCATATCACCATTCATAGGTTAACAACATTGTGTTCAATCAAAAATGCTCTTGTCTGATAGACAACACAACTGTTATTACTGAATCGTATTTCATCTCGTACGAAAATCTTCAGCCAAATCAAAACAGCCTACATTAAACGACAGAATAATAGAACATGGCACAACTAGGCACACAGGGGGATCAAGTTACAAGCAACAAAGGCATTAAACAAAAAAAAAAGTCTTTATACATTTTTACTGTTTTAAATTCTTCAGACTATATAATGCTTCAATATAATGTTTGACTGATTTTGAAATGTTGTATTTGTGAATGTAGGCCTACTGATGGTGCAGAAAAAACAAGCAGAAAAGTATTGTGACAAAATAAAATAGTTTACCATGAGCATAAAGATCCCGCAGCAGCAGTTGTTTTCTGCTTCCTGTAGGGGAAATGACTGGAAAGAAAGTCACTTTTTTTACGTATGTTACATCGAGGACAATTTGATGTTGACAATACAGCTTGAGGTCTTGGCCAGTCTTCTCTGTCTAAACCCCCCCAAAAATGACTTCTGCAATTGTCTGAAAGACGCAATACGCACTGTGTATATTTGTGCTGCAAATGAGAAATTACAAGCGAGATACCTACTAAAACCTGAAGCCGAGACAAGGCTTTTTCTGCAACCTCAACAACTGTTGAACAATTGTGATTCTTAAGGCTGTCACATTGGGGAGAATGTATATATTAGGCCATCTTTCAGCAACTGGAGAATGAAACAGTATGTAGTTGAAGAAGGTGTGAGAACCCTGGACTGTATTCGTATGTTTGCACGTGTGTCAGCCTTAAGCATTCACAAGTGTATCCTAAGAGCAAGGCCAACAAACTCGTTTTGTTCTTTTACATTCCTCTGTGCCGCTGTGCAAAGCTGAACTTCCACTATGGGGAATTAATAAAGGTAAATAAATCTTATCTTACCTTAGTCTGAACCTGAATATGGTCCTGTAGGCCTCATCGCCAAAACCATTTGGATGCGGAGAGTCTAGAAAAATGATCTCTCTCTTTGCTACCAACAACATATTTCATTACGATCACAATGATCATGTTTGGGGTATCAAATATTTGGGCACGTATCATAAATACATGAATGAATATTAACAACTGAAACTGTACACAGAGTATATAGTGGTCCACAGCATCTTGCAGCCTACTCCATGCTGGTATCACAATGGCATCTTTTGAGGCCAAGTGTTCTTGGAAATACAAGTTTAAGACATCCATAAACATTTGTAATAGTATGTTATTGTGGTTGTGGCATCTAATATATGATGCAATTGTACTCAAGATACCCACCGGCAAACAGATGTTACCCATCTTCCAGGTGGGAATTGTGAATAAATCCATGATGTGGACATCCATTCACTAATTGTTATTTTAAGTCAGTAATTTAAAATGTCTGACTCTCAAAGAGTATATGAATAGTGAGAATAGTGACCACAGTAAACCAAACAGGAAAGCTGATGGAGCCAGGGACTGCTGCTGAACAGAGTCCAGGGTTTGCAACAGTAGGGCAGAATCTGAGTGGAGCTGCAGCTTAGCGGAAGCATGGGACACTAACAGTTCAACAGGTTCAAATGACTGATGCAAAGAGGGCAAAACGGATGCAGAGTTCAGGGTTAGGTGCCACACAGCAGGGTCAGGGGCTGTGGTGGCAACACAGTCAAAGAGCTGCGGTGGCTCAACAGCAGGCGCAGTTGGTCGACCCCCCCCCCCCCCCCCCCCCTCCGTTCATGGGGGGTAGCAGTCTGTCGGGCTAACAACAGAGAACCAGGAGCTTGTGTTGGTCGGACCACTGAATGGAACCTGGGGGCAGGAGTTGTTCGGACCACAGACTGAGAACCATGAGCAGGTATTGGGCCACCGACAGAGAAGAGGCTGGACGGGGGGCACCTCTGTGGCAACACTTTCTCAGAGGGGCTTACCAGCAGAGTCTCTTGATCGCCGAGCCGCTCTGTCTATTTGACATCTTGCCTCTCCAACGCCGGGTTGCTCCATCCCTGAACCACCGGGCAGCGACACCTCTGCAGCACTGGAACGTGGCAAGGATAAGGAGCTGGCCGGCAATGTGGATGACGAGCTGGGCAGTGATAAGAGTGAAAGACTGCTCAAGAGTTGGGCCTGGAGTTGGGCTGTGATTTTTTTTTTTTTTAGACTTCGAGCCATAATGCCATAATGTCCGCTTCTCCTTTTATGACCTCCTCGTGTCCCTGTGAAGATGGCCCAGGGAGTCCCCTCAAAGGCATGCTGGAATTCGGGGTGGCTCGCCGGCCAAGGTGCAAGCTGATCAGGTAGGCAGGTGGTTAGCCGCCAAAGTGCTAGCCAGAACAGGCAGGTGGCTAACTGGACAGGATGCAGGCTGAAGAGTGTTACCAAACAATTGGGAAGCCGATGAATGACTGGCAGGTTGACGAGCTGGAGTGTGGATGACACCAGTTAACCAAGCTGGAATTGAGTCTCTAAACCTAGGATTGGAAGCAACCTGTCTCCCCACTATAGCCTGACCAGCCTCCTTATGGCTATCAGGACTACCATTGCTCCACACCCCCTTAAGCTCCTTCAATTCTAGGCACAGATGAAAAAGTTCACTGGATATTGTGTCTGCTGGGTCCATAATTGGTTGTGTCCTTCTGTCACAACAGGCCGAGTACAGAGGCAAGTAAGGACTCAAACGCAAGACACCGGAGAGTTTGTGACATTTAATACACACTAAACAGAAGACTT